CCTCCCCCCGAGAAAAGCCTTTGGTGACAACATGGCTCCGTCATAGATAAAGTTTAGGGAGTGAGCGTTGTCACCCTAGGACAGAAAGTGTTACAAGCAGGATTACCAAGTAAAAATAAACCTATAAATGAAAACGAATGCAGCCACCGCATTTATATGTGGTAAGCTGCAGTATATTTCAGGTTTTTTTTAATAACCGTGTGTAAATGAATTTTCTATTTGGAAACCTTGTTTGAGGCAATCAGTTGCTCTTCTGTTTTTCCATAGAACTAACAGGAATGCTCACTTCTAATCTATATTCAGCAGCTTGAGAGGCTGTGACATTCTATGCTAACTCCTCTATATGTCCTTTACTAGCTGCATTGCATGATGGGAAATGACAGACATTGAGTGGAGAGACTTGTGTCTCATGTCACTCTAGTCCTTGAGGAGAGGCCAGTGACCTCCAGGACTTCTGTGTCTGGCACAGTTTGCTAGGTATCACAGGAAAGGATTTCCCAGATATATTGACCAGGTTTGAACAAATTCCAGGAAGACTGTGCACCTATAAATACAAATTGCATGGGCCTCACTGTTTTAGTAGTTGAGGATTCCAGGCAAAGTGACAAGTCACATGGAGAGTCACATGCAGAAACATTTGTTTACCCTACTGGACTCTGCTACCAAACTTCTAGTGTGATGTGCCCCTTAGGAGTATGTGACTTTATTGGCTTACACCTGAGACATTTCACTACTTGTTTGCAATTGCGTTGTTTCCATTACATTAAAATGGATGACCTGCTGAAAAGATAATTGCCAGGAAGTGGTAACATTTTCAGTGACACGTGGCTTAATTGTAGCTTAGAGAAACAGTTACTTTGCCTATAGCCCACCCTTAGGCTTGTGTACCTACTGAGCCAAGCTCCCTTGCTGCCTCCCTGCTGTAGCATCCCCGCCTGTCAAAGCTTCAGTGTTGGAGCATAGACAAAGGGATGATGTCATAGCAATCAGACGACTGGCCACTAAAGCCAGAGCACTGTCCCATAGATGAGGTCATATCTGACCTGCTTTGTTACCGAAGACTCCCCAGTGCTCTTGCTCCAGGCTTGATAAGTATACATTCCTGATGAGGTGGGCTATGTGCAGTCAGTTTCTTTTTAAGCTAGAATCATTGTTCTGTTGCTCTTTAGGATCGGGTGCATTGTGATGAACGTCACCCCAGTGGGTTTCTATTATAAGTCTGATTTTGCCAAAACTGATTCTATCCAATCTTTTAGGCTTAGATGTTAACAAATACCATAGCGGATAAGGGTGTTCTAAACAGGTTGTGTATGTAAAACATTGTCTGATGGCACTGACTATCCCTGTCCTGTAGGTGCTCCCGGCCGGGGCAGAGAGCACAATGGGGAGCCCGCCTGGCGAACAGCCACCTCCTCTTCCTGGACCTTCACTAACTCAGGTGCAGCATGAACCTCATTTTCTTCCATGTAACCTCTCAGTGGATGCATCTCCTCATCTTGTGCATGCCCTTTCTGCCTTTCCCTCTGTCCCATATGTTGTCTGTCACCCTTCCAGTGCAGGCACAACCTATAGTGAGTGAAAAGACAGCACTAGAGATTTATGGTCAAACTCAACCCCCTCGTACTGAGCTCAGTAAATGGTAGGGTGACAGAGACCCCCCCTCCTCTGACCCTCCCTGCTTCTCATTACAGTCCCAGCAGCCCCTGGAAGACCTGGATTTCCAGTTGAGAAGGACGTTGAGCCCAGAAACTGTCCCTGCCTCCTCTGCACCCAGCTGTGTGAGTGTGAAGGCTGCGAGTGTGGCTGTTTTACCACCTTAGTTTAAAGTAATGAATGTAATTCTCATGGTCATCCATACTCCACTGGCTTCTACGGTCCTGCTCTCCCACTAAATGCTTACCACAAGTGAACGGTCATGATGTACTGATTTTAAATCAAACCTATACCAATAAATATGGTAAACTGGTGGACCAGACATCTGACTTTACAGCACTAGATTAGATATGTGGATTGAGTTAGTTGAATTTTTTAAGTACTTGTAGGAAAAGTGTATGTATAGTTTAACACCAGCTTGTAGTTTACTGGGTTTGTTCTTTTTAGCACAGGAACATGTTAAAGCCACACTAAACTCAGGAGGTAAACCTTAAAAATGCATTCAAGTACCTTAACAACAAAAATATATCATATTGGTGTATCACTTGGCTGTAGATCCTCAAATCATCTCTGAATTGGTGCTGACACTGTCCTTCCTTCTGGAGGGTGGCTACTTTTGTTTCCCATGGTCCCTGTGTGTGCTGCAGTAGCCACCGCTCCAAGCTCGCTCCCGTGATGGACTACAATCCCATGTTCAGTTTTCCAATTTGTATTGAGATTGTAGTCCATCACAGGAGCGAGCTTGAAGCGGTGACTACTTTACAACACACACCGGGACCATGGGGAGCAAAAGTAGTCACCCTCCAGAAGGAAGGACAGTGTCAGCACCAATTCAGACATGATTTGAGGATCTACAGCTGAGTGATACACAAATAGGATACATTTTTGTTTATAGTTAGGGGACTGGAATGCATTTTTTTTATTTTAAATTCTCAGTTTAGTGTCACTGTAAAGCAACTTGGTTTCTGCGTTACACGCTGAAAAAAAGGGTTTATATTCTCCTTTTTAAGTGCTACAGCATACTCTTTACATTTGACTTTTCTAGGAGTGTTGGATGCTTGCATTCCCTACTGTGTGCTGCTTAGAGCGGGGTCCAGGCATCCCAACACCCCGCTCTAAGTCTATTGGATATGAACACATTTGCTCTGAGAATGAAGATCTGAGGGACGGGCAGTATATATTATACATTATACGACCTGTTGATGACTGGAGTTCTTTTTAAATCCTGCATTTGAATATTAAATACAGCATTTGAGCAGAAAAGGCTGCAGTAGTCAAGCCGTGCCTTCAGCTTAAACACACCTCAGTAGGGGTCCAAAGAAATGTAGCATAAAGCATGTCGAACTTCATGTCGAGGGGAATTTGCTGACCTGGTTGATGTGTGTTCCAAATGCAAGAAAGCGGCCGTCGACATGAGTCCTTAATTTGTCATTTAAAGTGGAGGGACAGATTTTACATCGGTCCTCTCATGTGACTTGCTTTTGATTTTAAAAAAATAAACTAAAAATAAATGATCATGATTCTACACAACAAAAATTGAATATGATTGAATTATAGCAGATTTTTTTTGTTTTATCCCCGGGAAAACTAATTTTAGTAAAGTTGATTTCTGAAAGGTGTGATTCATTCTTGGAATTAGATATATTGAGCACTAGTATTATGACATTAATGGCCATCATTGAGATACACACTGTTCCTGCTATTTTTATTTTACAGTATTCCAGGGCACTGATTTAATTCTGTGATTTGTGGGGTGTGTCATGATGTGTGTTTGGTACAAAGCATGTTGAACTTGTATACAAATAAAAAACATGCTTAAAAAATCGCGAGCCGTAGCTCGCGGTATACTGAGCTTAGGGTGACGGGATTACGCTAGTTTGTGCCCTCCCGTTACCCTTAGGAGAACTATGGCCTAACCCCATAGTTTTCCTTTAACAAAGCGGTAACCCCGAGCCACACGCGGAATACAGCGTAGGTCCCCGCTGTGTCCTCCAGCCGCTTCCGGGTTCCATCCCTTGCGAGCGTCTGCGTCGCAGGGGGGTGGAACCGGTGGGAAGTTTGAAAGTTTAAAAAAAAAAAAACCCCCGAAAAAAAGAGAAAATAAAGGGGAAAATAAAATCATACCGCCAGGGAGGTATAAAAACGAGCGTCGAACGCGCGTTTCACTGAACTTAAAACGAGCTGAAAAACCACGCCTATAGTACGCCCAGGTGTGAACCCAGCTTAAGTGGTTAATATGGGTGTCTGTAGCAAGAACGGAATTTGATGACTTCATGCTTTGATAAGCCCCTTATTGATCTGCCAGTTGTAGTGTGGTTGATTTTGTGTTTGCCCCACTGGTGTGTGTTCCTTTAATGCTACCTGGCTTTGCCATCTATTTTGCAGACCACAGACTTTTAACATGAAAGTTAACTTTCAATTGCTTGCCCTCCTTTTTAGCCTGTGTCAAGTGCAGCCCCTGCAACTGCAGCCGGACCCGTGGGTGTCCCGTCGAAGCTTGCCACTGATGGTAAGTGCAACACAGCTCAGTCACAATAAGATGTTTAAACATGATGAAAGATTTCTGCTATAGCACACGGTGAGGGGGATTTATCAAAACTGCATGGCAACCAATCGGCTTCTCTGTTTCATTTTCAAATCTTAACGGAACAAACTGAAGAGAGAAGCTGATTGGTTGCCATGAACATCTGCTCCAGTTTTTGTCTATTCCAGTTTTGATAAATTCCTCCCAAAGACTTCAATAAAACTTATATCAGAGTTTTACTTTGCAGTCTTTTGAACCCATACAGTGAGCAGAAGATTTTATGTGCACTTATTTATTTAGCTTTACGTTTTTCAGTTTGAGTGTCAGGAGTCAGATGTTGCCTGAAGTAAAACATACTGCTTTGTTGGCCGCCTGTCATCAGATGATCTTATTCCTTTTAACTACTGATATTTGACACGGTTATGCAGTTTCATGAGTTGAAAAGAGCATCAGGGAATCAATTATTAAACTTTAGGGTGAGCTTTGACTCTTGACGCTCAAGCCTATTAATATTCACTGGTTCCCTTTTAGAATCCTTATACTAGATTTAATAGTGCTGCTTTGTGGTTCACACATGTCCTGCTGTCCCTTTGCAGAGTTTATTCTGGTGCTCCCATAAGTCATAATGCTAAGACGGCATAGAAAGATTTTTTTTTTCTTTTCCTGGTTTTACTTTGCCCTCACCGCCTCTAAACTATCATGAGACTTGACACACACAGGCCGGATAGGTGAAGACTGTCTGCACATCTCATGACTGCATACCAATAGCTCTTTGTATACATGGTCTTTTTAGTTCTTAATACCATAGCAACAAAAGTAATGTCTGACTGTTTACAACAGATACTGGTATGAACACGTTATACTGTGTTTGTTTTTACACCTTTCAATTTAGAGCATGTTCGTGAAATGTAGATATATATTTTATAACTTCAATAATGTTTGTTTTTCATTAAGTTCCAGAGCCGGAAAAAGCCAAGCCCGCTGCAGAGACTGGTGGTTCAGTCCGGAAAATGGGGCGATTTCAGGTATGTTCCTTGCATGATTACATTTCATATTCCGGGTGACTAATCTGATATATTACAAGCAGCCTACCTCTTATGTATAGAGAATTGCTGCTAGCTGGCCTTAAGGCAATGCCCATGTGTTGGATATAAAACAAGAAAAACCTGCGCTTCTGGATCCAAATCGAAAAAAAGAAAATCGAACAAAGCCAGAAGCTGCTGAAACTTAGGCAATGCGCCTCAAATGAAATAATCAATTAATAGTGTAGCGTTAAAGGCTTTAAGGTGTGTAACACCAAAAATATGTGTGAAGTGAAATATATCTTTATAAATTGTGTCAATCAGTGTGCTAAAACACATGAATACAGATATATAACTGTATAGTAACTTTATGAGTGAAACAAAAATGAGAAGGGATTAATTAAAGAAATGCTTCTAACAGTGAAAAAAATCAGTGAGAAACGGAAGAAAAAAAGAAGAAATCCGTCTAAACATTCAAAGCAGAGTTGCAATATTGTGTACAAATTGCTAAATCACTTGTGTGATTATTGTGTACAAATAATTGTGGTTAATCAAAACAAATTGTGTTATTTGAACCAATAAAGATTATGTGACAAAATGAAAATAAAAAATTATAACGATCTCATGAATCTCAAAAGTGTCTTTTTCTTTGTTTCAAAAAATGTGTCCAATCGATATTCCTCTGAGCATATGTTATAGATAAACAGGCAGCAGATGTAAGGGATCCCCTCAAGGGTGTACACTCACCAGATTCAGAAGGTATACAAGTTATGTATAGCGCCGAAATGCCGGTAGCTGTTCACTTATCCGATCATCTGGTTCGTCTTCTCCGAGATTTATGGGAAAACTGTGTCCGTCTCCTGTTTCAGTTTTGACACTTTTGAGATTCATGAGATCGTTATCATTTTTTATTTTCATTTTGTCACAATCTTTATTGGTTCAAATAACACAATTTGTTTTTGCAATTTGTACACAATATTGCAACTCTGCTTTGAATGTTTAGACGGATTTCTTCTTTTTTTCTTCCGTTTCTCACTGATTTTTTTCACTGTTAGAAGCATTTCTTTAATTAATCCCTTCTCATTTTTGTTTCACTCGTAAAGTTACTATACAGTTATATCTGTATTCATGTGTTTTAGCACACTGATTGATTGACACAATTTATAAAGATATATTTCACTTCACACATATTTTGGTGTTACACACCTTAAAGCCTTTAGCGCTACACTATTAATTGATAATGCCCATGTGTTGCACTTTGTGGATGTTCAGTCATGGACAGAAGCATATAAATATTAAAAATTGGTTGAGTTTATCTCTGCCTGGAAATGCCTTGCTGCAATGTGATTGGCTTAATAGATATTTGTGATAGACCTCTGAAGGTTTGCTGTGTTGGAGTCTGGCACCAAGCCGTCAGTAGCAGATTCTTTTAAGTCCTGTAAGTTGCAAGATGGGGTCTCCATGGATAATACTTGTTTTTCCAGCACATCCCACAGATACTTGATTGGATTTAAATCTAGGGAATTTGGAGGCCAAGTGAACACCCCAAATTCATTCTGTTCCTCCAACCACTCTTGAACCTTTTTTGAAGTGTGGCAGGGCACACTATACTGCTGAAAGAGGTCCATCAGGGATTACAGTTTCCATGAGACTAAAACCAATAGAGCCGCAGTTTTGGAGTTGCTATGACCCAGTTGTCTAGCCATCAAAATTTGTCCCTGGCCAATCGCTCAAATCCTTACACTTGCCCATTTCTTTCTGCTCCCAACACATTAACTTCAGGCACAAAATGTTCACTTGCGGCCTAATATCTTCCGCCCAATTCCAGGTGCCATTGTAACAAGATGTTATTTACCAGCAAGATAGCTTTATATCGAAGGCATGTTGGCACTCCTTTATACCTATGTATTAAATCCTAACGCCAGTTCCCTAAAAGTAAAAAAATAATTCCCTATGTATTAGAAATAAATTATTTCCACTGTAGGGTTACCACTTTGTGATGCTGAGCGTGTCCTTTTCCAGTTGTATGATGCCGATCACACAACTGTCATCACTCGACCCACTTTCTTTGAGCACATGGTGTCATGGCGCAGCCCTAGGAGGCATTTGATTAAGCTGCCCTGGGCTTACACAGGAATGCTGCAGAGAGTAGCACTATATCATTGCATGGAGGGGGGCTTTAAGTTTCTTCTAATAAGTACAGAACAGATACAAATGTACTGATACCACTGTGTTTGGGTTTGCATATAACAAGAAGGAAAAGTTTTCATATTACTCTTTTCCTGCAGGTTTCCGTTGCAGCGGATGATGTCCTAAAGCCGAGCGAAGATCCAAAACTGCCACAGCAGGAAGTTTCCTCCTCCTCGTCCACTACTTCTTCCTCCATGTCATGTAGCAGCCCAGAGAGTACACTGGTGAAGCCACGGCTCAATGCATCGGGGTCTTTAGACATAGTAGATGGTGTAGGACCAGCCCAGGTTCCCACACATACCCCATCCCCGAAGCAGTCTTTACAGGTGGGCCGGTTTCAGGTTACCACCTCCACCACGGACAGAGTAGGCCGCTTTTCAGTATCTCGCGCACAGGATGACCTATCATCAGGCCACACAGAGACTGAACAGCCACGAGCGTCTTCCCCAAAGACACCCCCCCATCTGAATGGACCTTCTTCCCATCCAGAGTCTTCGGCTACCCTAAGCGATCCACCCAAAGAAGGCCATGATGACAGCCTTGGCAGCCCTGTCATGCCGCACCCTTTGGGTTCAAAGGTCAGCTTGCAGAGTCTCAGCAACTCTTTTAACTCCTCCTATATGAGCAGTGACAATGAATCGGATATAGAAGATGAGGAGCTGAAGAAGGAGCTTCGGAGGCTGCGGGACAAGTGAGTGACCAGCCTGTTATGGAAGCTTTTTTCGGTGTTTGTTCAAATGCCACCCATTTAACCACACCCTGTCTTCAAATGATAACAGGGGTCTTGAGGCCCATCCTGATTACGAAGTTGATCATTACTGACTTGAAGACCAACTGAATTTTTAGATTATTTTAGCTAAATATGTTCCATGTGCATCAAAACAAAACGTGAGAGTATTTTATTATTATTTTTTTTTAAACAACGACATTCCGAGTAGTTAAGTCCTTTCCCTGGCTTGCTGCCAACACTCCCCCCGCTGAGCCAGACCTAGAGCTCTTTGCTTATTGCAGAGCTGTAGGGGGTGAGTTGATTCTGTGCTTGGACAACTGCTTCCACACAGAGCAAGGGCCCTTCTCTGCCCCATACTGGCAAGGAACAGACTTTTCTACTCAGGCTGTGGCTGCTTTCTAAAAAAATGAACTGTAAGACTTTCAACACCTTTTGTTTTCAGGCACCTGAAATGCATTTAATGGATTTAACCTGGATGCTCATTTGGGCTTTAAAGATGTTAAAAAAAAAAAAAAAAAATACACACCAGATGAGCCTTCAGATCCTTCATGGAGTACGGCTTTTGTAACGAAGCGACCCACATACATTTGTACATGTTGATATTTTGGGGTTTTTAATGCTAGCGTTTGTGAACTGTGCACCATCTTTATGGCTTATTTGCTCTACACAGGCATCTGAAGGAGATCCACGAACTACACGGCCGTCAGAAGCAAGAAATTGAGCAGCTGTACACAACATTAGGCAAAGTCCCTCCTGCTGTCATCATCCCTCCCGCAGCACCCCTCTCGGGCCGAAGGAGGAGACTCACCAAGGGGAAAGGCAGCAAGTCCAGTAGTAGGAGCTCCTACGGGAACCGCAGTCCTCAGCTCTCAGGTACCTAGGAGTAGCAATTCTGTATATTCAATGTAATATATTTTTATTACAGACAGGAAAGGTTTTGATTGTCTGTCTGTGCAGTGTGGACACCACTTACTCTTAACACCAACCCACTGGTTATATATAGCTCTCCTCCTACAATCCTCTCTGGCTCACCTGTTCTATTCTTTTACCTGTAGGTGACCTGTCCACTCAGAGCGCTCCTGCCACCATTCCCCCCCAGCAGAACCTACTCTTGCCCCCTACTAGTATGCCGGACCCCGGACACCACCTGAAACCCTCACCCTCCAGTGACATCCTCTGCTCTGCCTTCACCAGTGATGCTGCCCTCTCTGTGCCCAGTTTATCCGCCCAGGGACAAGGTAAACCCAAAAGGCACACCCTGGGAACATTCACCTTTCTAAAACTAACTGGGAAGCCTCTGTCACCCTCCGGTTTTTCATACTGCTAGTAGGAGGCTGCTCTGACACGTTTTCTCCTTGTCTTAGCAGTACAGGATTGGCATCAAAATCTAGCTTATGGCTTATCAGAAAACACCAGTTTTTAATAATGGGTGGGACTAGGCAAGTGATTTCACTATATGCTAAATGGAAACTGTGCATGCAGAACAGCTGGGTTATATAGCACAGATATAGCCTAAATAGCCATTTATCTGACTGTCCAACCAGAGCCGCTGGTTTATAGGACAAATACAGCCTATAGAGCCATTTATCCAACTGTACATCCGGAGCCAGCTGGCTTATAGTACAAATGCAGCCTAAATATAGACCCGTTTATGCTGCTTTTGGCAGGAAATATTGGGACTGGCATGGCTTCCAGGTTGCCTGTAATTTGCCCAAATTGTTAAAGTAGTTCAACCATCATGGGTTGTAAACTTGATGTTGTACTGCTGGTTACTCTCTCGGTGCTCTGCACTGCTCTGTGTTTGCCCCAGAATGCTGGACCGGAGCAGCACAGACCTCTGTTCTCTCCACACACTTTTATCCAAAGTTTTCCTTTTACATGTGCTGTCTTGTGATTTGTTACCTGTCTCTGCAGCATCTGTCTGTCCTCTTGTTTCTTTGTTTTATTCCATCTCCACCACAGGCTGGGCCAAGTTTAACTGTGCGTCAGAGCGGGTCTCCTTCAAAGTGGCCGGCAGGAGGACGCGATTTCTGAGTACGCCCTGCTTGGCTCTTTGTGTGTAACTCTTTACTCCTTCCTTGTCTCTTCTTTTCCCACCCATTGCCCTGCATGCACCCTGCTCGCCATGAGCTGCAGATCTGCATCCTGCTAAGACAGGAGAGGAACAGTGGGGATTTTAGGTAATGTGCTTTTCATAAGGTACTTGCAAAGAAAGGCTTCTATTAAACTGCCCTTTTTTTGTTTGTTTTGTGTCTGATAATTTCTGACAGGGCCAAATGATTTTTTATATGTAATAAGTTGTATTGGAGACTTGATCCTTCTGAACACTTGGCATGCAACAGATTTCTGCTACAAGAGAAGGGGGGAAAAAAAGAATCTGTCCTCTTCCGTTCACATTGGCATAGCAGTGAATAGTCATTGTATGGTGCAGGCATATAGCGGTTGTGTTGAGAACACTGGTTTTTAAAAGCTGCAACTTATCAGGAGAAGAGACCGATCCATCCCGCAAAAGCTCCTGAACTATAGTAGTGTGTAAAATACAAAGGGAACTTGTGCTGCCAAATATTGGGGCTACCATTGCTGATCTCTTCTGAAAATGCAAAGTACCTGGCTATCACGGTGATTCTTTTGGTGTTGCTGTGCTGGATGCAGGAAGTTTGACTTCACCTGCTGCATGCTTGTTCCTGGTAGTGATTCAGAAAGACAGGCAGCCTTTGTATTTGTCAGAAGACAAGTTTCCTTTACTTGATGTACCCCTTATACAGAAATGTTACTTAGCTTCATTTAAATCTTCAAGTTAAGTGAAATTTGACTGACTTAATCCTTAGAATTTTGCCAGAGGCTGGATTTGTGCACAACGGGGTTAGAAAAATGAGATGGAATGACCATGAACTTCTTATTTGAGAGGTTGCTGACCTTGCTAGCACAGGAGGAGACCCACTGTTCTCCCTGTAATTATACTCCATGTTACAGTTGTCTCTTCACACTCCTATCTATACTGCAAACATGGAGCTGGTTCTGCTGTTTCACAGACCACTCACCTGTGTGCTTTGGGATGAAAGTAACTGGACCTAGCCCATTATGCTTTCAGTAATCCTTAAAGCTGAATTTTGGCCCAAGAGCTTTCCTTTAAATATATGAATCAAAAGCCACAAAGTATATAAATCTGCCTTGTGTGCACCCAATACCTTTTGCGCACATCTAATATTATGTAGACTGTACAGATTGGGTGAAAACAAGCAGATCCTTCCACTACAGGCTGCCTGCAGAAAACTACAGGAGGGGGTGGATACAAGACCAGTCACCCTGCACAAGGAATAAGAGCAGCAGTGACTGGTCTTTATTACAGGAGGGGATGGATACAAGACCAGTCACCCTACACGTTGAGAGAGAGCAGCAGTGACTGGTCTTATCATTGGAGGCTCCTGCACAGAGGCAAAGTGCAGGAGTTGTTTCATGCTAGCTTACTGTACAGATCTGGAAGAAAGACAGCCAACAAGTGAGAATGGCTCTTGTAGTTAGACAATATTTGTTCAGAGTTCAGCTTTAATGCAGTGTCTGCAGAACACACAGACACTGTTAGGCCTTTGGTTGAACATAGCAAAACCCTTTGATTACCCTCCTGTTCTTTCCTCTGTCTGTCTACTTCTGCTGGCCCCATTTACATAGTTACATAGTATTTGAGGTTGAATAAAGACATTAGTCCATCAAGTCCAACCTATTAGGATCTCATTCTAGGAGTACCTGTACCCCTGTATATTACGGTCCCTTAAGAAATCGTCCAAAAGTTTCTTGAACAATTCCACATTATTTGCTGAAATCACCGCCTGTGGCAGTGAGTTCCAGACCCTAACTGATCTTACTGTGAAGAACCCCCTTCGCACCTTGTGCTGGAATTTTTTTTCCACCAATTTTAGGTTATGGCCTCTAGTTTTTGTAACGGAGTTAATTTTAAACAGTTTATCGCTAATGTTGCTACCACCATTAAACATTTTGTACATGGAAATCATATCCCCCCTTAATCTCCTCACCTCTAATGTGAACATGTTTAAATTTAGTAGCCTCGTCTCGTAGCTCTGGTCCTCCATACCCCTAATTAGTTTGGTTGCCCTTCGCTGGACTTTTTCCAACTCAAGGACATCTTTTCTTAGTACTGGTGACCAGAACTGGACCGCGTACTCCAGATGAGGTCGAACCAATGATCTATAAAGTGGCAAAATTATAGACTTGTCCCTGCAATACATCCCCTTTTTAATACAGGACAAGACCCTGCTAGCTTTGTTTACAGCAGCCTGGCACTGCAAACTACCTTTCAGTTTGTGGTCTACAATGACCCCCAAATCCTTCTCCATTTCTGACTTCCCCAGCGGCATACCCATAATTGTATAACCCATTTGTTTATTTTTAATTCCAAAGTGCATTACTTTGCATTTATCGACATTAAACCTCATCCGCCACATTAATGCCCACTCCCCTATTTTATCCAGGTCCTCCTGTAATGTTATAATGTCTAAGTCCGTGTCTATTACCCTCCCTATTTTGGTGTCATCCGCAAACACGGAAATATCGCTGTTAACACCCTCCCCGATGTCATTAATAAATAAGTTGAACAATATGGGACCCAGCACAGAACCCTGAGGCACACCGCTCATTACACTAGCCCAGTCTGAAAAGGTGCCATTTACAGATACCCTCTGGACACGTTCCCGTAGCCAGTTCTCTATCCACGTACACACCACCTCATCTATGCCCATAGCCCTCAGCTTGTGTAGCAAGCGTTTGTGTGGTACCGTATCAAAAGCCTTTGAGAAATCCAGATATACCACATCCACCGGCTTACCTCCGTCCATATCTCTACTTACCCCCTCATAAAAAGTTAGCAAGTTAGTTAGGCAGGAACGGTCTTTCCTGAACCCGTGCTGATTGTCATTAACTATCCCGTTTTCCTGAACAAATTCTACCAGATAATCCTTTATTATGCCCTCTAGCATTTTACAAACTACCGATGTTAGACTGACCGGCCTATAGTTCCCAGGTTGGCACCTTGCCCCCTTTTTGAATATTGGGACTACCGTAGCCCTCCGCCAATCACTGGGGATCCTACCAGTCATTAAGGAGTCCTGTTCACCAGTGCATTTCCTGCTGAAGCTTATCCTCCAGGCTTCTATAGCATACAGACCCCCTAATCAGCTGCATACAAGGCTGTTTGCTGCACCCACTGTGCCTTATATCAACGTTCTGTTGCACATTTTTATAAAGGCCTCTGATAATGCTGATGCAGTGATGAGTGCCATCATTCTCTATAATGAATGATTTTCTTGCATTTCTCTTAAAGGGTTATTAAGTCCTCAGCGGTTTTTGCATATATCTGCTGTTAGCAAGCAGTAGATATATGCAAAAACATTTTTAGAAAAAAACAAACTATTTTTAAAAAGGGTTTAAACTTACCTGTGTCTTCGACGCACAATGCTGTCTGAACATCTGAAGAGTCTCGGGCGGGCGCATGTGCCGTACAGATCTTCGCCGCGAGACAAGGAGAGACACAAGGTAAGTAAATGCAGCAGCGCACACCGGCACAGGCTCTCTGGGACTGGAAGTTAAGACAGAAGACTCAGTGATGGATCGGAAACCGGCACCAGCGCTGGAGGGACAGCTGAAAACTAAAGGAAAGAAGATGATCGGATCAAGAGGCATCAATTAGGGCAAGTCCTTACACTAACATTGGGGGGGAAATGTTATCCTTTTAATGTCACTTAAGTTTTTACCAATTTTTTTGATCTGACTTAAGTAGATTTGTAGCCTTTAAGTCCTTCTTTCATTTAAAAGTTGTTTGGGAGAAGGAAGTAGGAGATGTAGGATGAAGCTTTTATAGCTCAGAAGCTGCAGCCTGGCGCTAGTCTGATCTAACTTCTAAATCATAAATGTGGTGAAATAAGATTTCACTGATGTTATTAATGACATACATTGTGGCATCACTTGTTGGGCCATTGTGTAGCTTTGGAGACAGAAATGAGGATGTCTAGTAAAGATAATATAAATAAACTTCTAGGTTGCACATCACAGGACACAGGGAGTTGATTCTGCAACCAATGGGCTATGTGTTTCCCTTCAGGTAATTAGACACTGGCAATGTCTTTTATGCACTTTTCCACTTAAGACTCTTCTAAGCTGCCCATAGCCACTGTGACACCTAGCAGCAGCTATTCAGACCAGTTTTCTCCTCAGCAGAGTCTTGGTGGACTGTACCTACTCCCCACTGGAAAAAGAATCTGGGCGCCTCTGTCATGTACTCGGAGCACTGGATCTTGTGTGGGACACTTCCCTTGGCACTTTGTGCAGAATGTGCAATTGATGGAGTGCTTTTCAGGGCCATGGCTCTCTCCTTTAAGACTCCCTTCAAGGGGCACATATGCATTAAAGTAGAGCTGCAACAGTTAATCGATTAAGTCGATTAAAATCGACGATTGAAAACGTTGGCAACGTTTTCGATCATCGATTCGTCGGCTATCGATTGCTTAGCCTGTTCGGGGCTCCGCACGCGGCCTGAGTCGCACGTCACGCGTCACACGCTGCTCCCGACGTGTCCACCGCACAGGCCGCCGC